GATCTCTGATCTCTCCTGATCTTGTCATGGGGTGCAGAGGGACAAAAACAGGAGCATCAAGAGGCTCTCTAGTTTGCTCTGAAATGATGCAGATAATGGTGTGCCAGTGTCTTCTGGCCATTTGAGGAGATTGGGTAGAGACAGTCTCAAGACAGCCTGAACCTGGGACCCAAAGTGGCTGCTTCACGCCATCTACCAGGGACCCCCCCACACTCCTGAATTGAAAACAAGCTGCAAGTCCCAGTTTCCCTGCCCAGTGGTGGTGAGTGGATTTCAGCTGGTTTGGGGTTCTGTTATCTTGAGGACTAGCAGCCATAGGGAACCTAGTTTAGCTGGGGCAGGTTTGATAGTGTCTTTGTGCTTAATGGGAGTTAGATGTCTCTGTGCATCTATATCAATGAAACCAGCTCCCGTCAGCACAGCCAACAAAGCACAGCAGTTTGGAATGATGGGAGTTGCAACCCAGGGACTTCTGGAAACACCCAAGGAGAGCCGCAGGTTCCCCACTCCTGCTCCAGATTGCTCAGGTGGGGGTCCATTTGCACATTTGGACTACTTTTATCCATACCACAAACCTGTGAAGTAGGTCAGGTTGAGAGAGAGCATGGCTGAGCAAGGATTTGGATCCAGGTGTTCGTGGACAATTCCAACACTGTCTGCTCCACTATCCTGGCTCTAGTCAACATGAGAATGGAAACCAAAGGGCTGTATTTCCCCTCAGGGCTGCCTTTCCTAGTATTGGATCTTCAGACACTGCTGGGCTCCAACTCCCACCATCTATTGGCTATATTATCTGAGTCCGATGGGAGTTTGGAGTCCCAGTGGTGAGAGCTAAGGAGCACTATGTTGGTTGCTTCCTGGCAGCGGCGTAGCGTGGGTTGTCAGCACCCGGTGCAAGGCAAGTAATTTGCACCCCCTAACCCAGGGCAAGGCAAGTAATTTGCGCCCCCTAACCCGGGGCAAGGCAAGTAATTTGCGCCCCCTAACCCCTAACCTGCCGCCACTGCCAGCTTCTTCTTGCTGCTGCCTGGTCTGGTCTGGTGTGGTTCTCTCCCGCGCTCAGCGCTGCTCTGGGCGGCCGCTGCACTGTCCCTCCCCCAGATAATCCCTCGCTCTCTCACCGCACGCCTGGCACCCACCCCCTCCACAGTGGGCGGCTACCCAGCGGCTCGGATCGGATTCGCACAGCCAGCACTGCAGTGAGAGAGAGTGAGTGAGCCAGGTAGGGGCAGAGAGCTGCGAGTGCGAGCGCGTCCCCCCCAAATGTTGCGCCCGGTGCGGCTGGCCCCCCCTGCACCCCCCACGCTACGCCACTGCTTCCTGGTATGGACAAAACTGAGTTTGATCAAGCAATGGTTCAATGCAATATGAAAGCAGTCTCCTTCGTCTGAAGGGAAGGGCGCTCTCCCAGCAATCCAGGATGAACATACCACAAGGAGTATAGAGCATAACTGCAGGATGGCTGTGTTCCACCTCCATTGTCAGAGTCAGAATACCAGTTGGTGGGAATTGCAGGCAGACAGGGTGATGCAGGCTCCCCAGAGGCATCTGGTTGGTCGCTGTGAGAATGAGATGCTGGACTAGATGGGCCATTGGTCTGATCCTGCTAGCTCATCTTACATGTTATTATGTGGTGGTTACGTGCCTAGTGGTATACAGTATCTGTAGGAAGGACTGAGAACATCCCCTTCCTAGTCAACCTTCCTAAAGAGCCACTGCCATTCAAGTGTGGACAATACTGGGTTAAAAGGACAGATAATGGTCTGACTCTGATTCAGGCAGCTCCCTGACCAGCACTGCCTGCTGGTGCCTTTATCCTGCATGGGCTATTGTGTGATAGTAAGTGTCCCCAAGTCATCCTCTCATGCACATTTGAAGCAGTGGTGCTGAGTCTCTCAGGATAAACAGAGTGATTGGAGGAGGACCCCCCCCCCCAATGTAAGGCAGGCCAAGAAGCTTCTGTGAAGGCGGGGAGCCGTGGGTGGGAGAGAGGGAAACAGCCCTCAGATTGGTTTGGAGGTAGCGCTGCTGGAAGCCAAGGCCAGTCCTGCTGATGAGGTCCTTTCTTCTGCAAGCGAATTGTAAAATATGGCTCAAATTTTCATTACGGGCTCTATTGATTATCTTTGGGGACAGATGAATTATGGGGGACATTAAATTAAAAAAAGAAAAGGAAATATTTGAATGAGTTTGGGAGGTCGATGCCAGAACAGCTGACTCGCTCCCAGCCTTTCTGGCACTTGAAGCCTCTGGGGCATTGAGCCCCTCTGAACTGGGCCAGCTCTCTGCGTTCCAGGGCTACACATGCCCAGAGTGGGAAGGAGCTCCCAGTGGCTTGACATGGAATTGCTCTCTGTTCTGCCCGTATAATCCAGATTTGCATATTGGTCCTAGCGCATGTGCTTCTGGCCTCATCCATTCTATAAATTTAAAGTACAATGATGCCACTTTAAGTAGTCATGGCCTCCTCTAAAGAATCCTGGGAACGGTTGTCTAGTAAGAGTGGGGTTAAGGGACTCCTCTTCCCCTTAAAGGTAAAGGGTAAAGGTAAAGGTAAAGAACATTAGGTCCAGTCATGACCGACTCTGGGGTTGCAGCGCTCATCTCGCTTTATTGGCCGAGGGAGCCGGCATACAGCTTCCGGGTCATGTGGCCAGCATGACTAAGCCGCTTCTGGCAAACCAGAGCAGCGCACGGAAACGCCGTTTACCTTCCCGCTGGAGCGGTACCTATTTATCTACTTGCACTTTGACGTGCTTCCGAACTGCTAGGTTGGCAGGAGCAGGGACCGGGTAGCAACGGGAGCTCACCCCGTCGCAGGGATTCGAACCGCCGACCTTCTGATCGGCAAGCCCTACGCTCTGTGGTTTAACCCACAGCGCCACCCGCGTCCCACAGCGCCACCCTCTTCCCCTTACAGAGTTGCAATTCCCAGAGTTGCCTGGGAAGAGTGATTGGTTGTTAAACCACCCTGGGAACTATAGCTCTCTGTGGGGAACGGCCAGAGCTCAGCAGCAGAGCACCTGCTTTGCATGCAGAAGATCCCAGGTTCAATCCCTAACCTCTCCAGGAAGGGCAGGGAATGTCTGCTGCCTGAAACCCTGGAAAGCCACTGCCAGTCAGTGAAGACAATACTGAGCTAGATGGATTCAGTATAAGGTAGCTTCCTACATTAAAACTCCTGCTGGAAAAATCAAGCAGTTTTTATGCTTTGGTCAGAGGGTTTTGGAAAAGTAGAACTGCAGGTACTTTAGCCCTCTGAGGCAGAAATAGTTGGATAGAGTGTATTGTTTTCTGTCAAAGGCGACAACCTCCTCCTCTTGGGCTCCATGCAAGGGAATATGGAACAAGATGCCAACAAGGTTTCATACCATGAAGTGGCCAAACTCAAAGGAAGTGAAATTGAATCTTTGCGCCTCTGATGGGGCTTCCACACTTCCCTTTGTGCTGCCTCTCTAGGCCCAGCTCTGGGATTTCCAGGTTTGTGTCCGAGCATGTTTTTTCTTTTTCTTTTTTGTCCTAGCACTTTCCCCAGAAAAACCCGCATTTTACCACTGAATTGAAGCAAACAGCAATTTTCCGCAGGTTGCTGTTTGCTGCCGTTCAGCAACAAAATGTGGGTTTTCCCTGCAGAAAGCACCAGGACAAAAACAAAAACAAAAAAACCCCTGCTTGTACACAACCTGGAAATCCCACACCTGAGCCTAGAAACTCAGCACAAACGGAAGTGTGGATGAGCCCATAGTTGGATAGAAGAGGGCATTTCAGCAAAGGTTGAACCTCTTTCTGTGCAGTTCTTGAAGGCTCACCTGCCCTGTCCTGCATGTGGGCACCCTAGATCTCAGAAGGTAAAATGAAGGCACATGTTGGCACTAGGTCTTCTGTTGAGGGCCCTGGTTGCAGAGCTGGTGTGGCTTACAGTCTGCTTAACAACCGGTTCTCTCTGTCTCATGCATGCCATGCAACCATAGAGTCATCTAATACAACCCATGGTTCAATGCAGGATGCAACCACAGCATCCTTAACAGAAATCCAACATCTGCTTGAAAACCTCCTACCGAAGGAGAGATGGCTTCTTTATTCCACTGTCGAAACAACCCTCTCCCATCCTTCATAACGTTTAGTCCAAATCCATGGCCGCCACCATACACTCCATAACCCAAATGCTCAAGGCAGGGCTTTCCAAACTTTTCATGTTGGTGACACACTTTTTAGATATGCATCATTTCGTGACACAGTAGTTCAGTTTAGCAAACCGGAGGTTAAACTAACCCTATATAAACTAACGCAGGGAACATTTGCACGACATACCTACACACTGCAACCGACACACTAACATGTTGCAACACAGTTTGGAAAGCTCTGGCTTAAGGGTTGCAGTGACTCCACTGAGTAGCATTTGCATTCTGAAGTTCTGGGAGAGTTTTGAGCAAGGTGTTGGCCTCTGTCGTCTCCTCCTATGCATCTGGGTCCTCCTTAGGATTTTGAAGCCAATCATGCATGTTCTGTGTGCGTATAAATTATCTGCCGCTCCTCTCTAAGAAACTTTAGATTTGTATCCCTCTGTCTGCACCTGTTTCTGCCTCCCCCTGTTTCTCCCTCCCCTGGGGGGCTGGAGAGCCCAGTGTCTGGTCACACAGCACACCTTTTTTCTCCACTTCTTCTGTGTTGTTTTTAGCTTCTCGGTTCGGTTGAGCTGGCAGCTGCTGCCTCTCAGGAATTTTCTGTTGTTTTTGGTAAAACCGTCAAGGAATGCTGCCCGCGTCTCTCATCTCCCTCCTGAGCCAAAAGTTGCCCCAAAAGAACAACTCTGCCCTGTGCCACCCCTGCATCTGAGCACTGGGAGCCCATTCCATTTCAGGATCTTGCTCTCAATCAGATGTTCTCACAGATCTTTCCTCACTGCCACAACCACCTCTGCTTCTGAAGCCACTTGAATCATATAGAGTTGGAAAAGACCCTGAGGATCATCAAGTCCAACCCTCCACAATGCAGGAATATGCAGCTGTCCCATACAGGAATCAAACCTGCAACCTTGGCAATATCAGCACCATGCCCTATCCAACTGAGCTATCTTGCTCATATCTTCTGTGCTGGTTCAACTCCCTACATCCTTTTCACTTTCCTAATTCCACTCTCGGAGGATGCACACCTCTAAATACCACTTGCCAGGAACCGCAAGTGGATAGAATGCTGTCATACTCAGGTCTTGCTTGTGGGCTTCCTCTTGGGGCAGCTGGTTAGCCGCTTTGAGAAAAGGATGCTGGACTAGATGGGCCTTTGGCCTGACCCCGGAATCAGGCTCCTGTTCATTGGTCTCTTTTTGTATGGCTTTGAAATGGGATTAGGCAGATTCACAGAGGAGAAGGTTGGCAAGAGACACTGGTTAAACTGGGTTAAGTATTCCCTCCACTCTTGGAGGCCTGTGCCTCTGGATACAAGAAGCAAATGGGAAGGAAACTGCTGTTGCCCCCAGGTCCTGCTTGGGAGCTTCACACAAGCATTTGATTGTCCGTTCTGAGAACAGGATACTTACCTAGGTGGGCCTTTGGTCTGATCCAGCTTCAGGGATCTTCTTATGTTGAACACTTAACACTCTAAGCCTGCTGGAAGGGTCCATTTTGTTATTGCACAGTGCCTAGTAATCATATACAAAGAGGAAGTTCCATTGAATTATTGTGATCAGGTCCTGCTTGTGAAATGATCCCAGCTGACTGTTTTGTTATATCTGTCTCCATTAGCTGTTTCACACTTTTGCACGGTAACCCGGGAACACACCAGCGTGCCACAGTAAATGCATGAAGTGTGAAGGGGGAGAGATGCGTCCCTAAACCCACTGTATGAGAGCCATTGATTTGCCTCTCTCATAGGCACTTGACTTGTTTTACAGTGGTGAAACACCAGTGTGCTCCAGTTGCACACATGTCTGTAGCTGTGAGTGCATGGGAAGGGTCTTGTGAGCCTTTCAGCATACAGTGCAATTCTGTCTGCCATAACTGGGCATGCCCTGTTTAAGTTTGTGTAGTTGCATGCTTGAGCAGCAATGTATGGACCTGGCAGAGCATATGCACTTTGGCTGATCTCTTGTGTAGTGGATTGCAAAGTGCCTCACGGTGGTTTCCGGGTTTTCCCCTTGCAAGGATCAGTGGTGTTCACAGAAATAAGGCGGCCCAATGAGTCTGCAGAAAAGGTGGGACCTGATTCCTGGGTCTTCCAGACTGAGCCCCAGCTTGAAACACTCAACCCAATCACTTTGAGGTTCAGGTGAGGAGAGGAAGCACAAGTCATTCATCCTTCATCTCCTGTTGTCTCCTTGGATCATCTGAGGATAAACAGATGATCATCATCGAGGCAGCTCCAAGCTTCTTTGCTTCCATGTTAGTTGCTCACCGTCTGATGGCTTAAGAGCAGCAGAAGTTCAACTCCTAGCTCAGAATTTGCCCATTGGATGCCTACAACTGTGCTAGCTGGGGCAGATGGAAAGCCAAAATTTATGGAGGGCACAAGATTGGCGAGGGCTGGATTGTGTTAATCGTCCATTGTAAAAGTGTAAATCTGAGAGTACACTGGTGCCCCTCCCAGCTTGCAGAACTCAAGCTGGCCTTCACTGTACCTGCCTTTCCAAACAAAAGGTCTTTAAACTGGAAGCTGGGAATCGATGGCTCAGTTGGTTACAGCATGGTGCTGATACCACCAAGGTTGCAGGTTTGATCCCCGTATGGGATAGCTGCATATTCCTGCATTGCAGGGAGTTGGACTAGATGATCCTCAGGGTCCCTTCCAAGACGACATTTCGATGATTCTATCATCTTTCTGTGGGTTGAACCATTGTCCATATTCCTAGCTATGCAGAGCACTTGAACATTCACAGAGAGAAAGAGAGACAGAGAGACTTTCACAACTATTTCCTGGGTTTCATGTATGTGTGAGTAGCTGATATTTGTATTTGCACCGCTCTGTCTCTTTTTAATTTTTTTGTTCCCTTTTAGATCTTGGTGACTCCATTATAATAATAATGATAAAGGTCTTCCACAAAAGCTTGTGTTTTCATGCGGGCTTCACTCAAAGGGCTGGCGGTTTCCATGGCTGCCCCGTCTCCCTGTGGCAACACACCCTTTATTGTGTTGTTGGTGGGTTTTTTTTTATATATTTTTTGGCTTCATAAACTTCTCCAAGTGTTTAAGCAGAAAAAGGGATTCGTGAGGGAGAGGAGAAGAGGTCAGCGTTGGCAGCACAGCTAAAAAGGTAAAGAAAAGTATTGGTCCTCTGCTGATCAGATTCTGAGACAGGGCGGTATCTACTTAAGTTATATTCACAGTAGACCCACTGAAATTAATGAAGCTAAGTTAGTCGTGGTAATTAAGTTCATAGGTGTACTCTGAGTAGAACTAGAATGGGCTGCAACCCAAAGTGTTTTTTCTTCTTTTAATGATCTTTATTGCGTAGGTTGAAATGCCAGACCCACTCTTTCCCCCTTGCTGCGGAGTCTGAATGCCATCAGAGCTCCCCCCCCCAGCAGGATTGCCACCTCTGCTCTACCACCCAACTCTGATCAGAGAAGGGAACTGCACCAGTTAAGGAAGCCACCTGAATACAAGCAGGCCAGAGAGAATCTTGTAACGCTCCCTGGCCAATATAAAAGTTTTCAGGGAGCTCTTTCTTGCTGCTTAGAACATAGATGGGGTTGCCCTGTGCCCAAAGAGTCAAGGTTGCAGGCTGAGATTGCTTGTTTAGATCCAAGCCTGCCATTTGGGTAGCAAGTTATGGCTGGCTTGCTAACTGAAGCCTTCTGGAACAGAGAAAGCCCGTTTACTCTCTGGAAACCTCCTGATCTTGACTACTACAGTTCATTGTGTGTTGGGCTGTGCTTGAAGACTACTTAGAAACTTCAGTTACCGTATTTTCCGGCGTATAAGATGACTGGGCATATAAGACGACCCCCCAACTTTTCCAGTTAAAATATAGAGTTTGGGATATACTCGCCGTATAAGACTACCCCTCTTCCAACGCACACCAAATAAAAATTAAAAAAACCAGTCTCCAGTCTGGCTCGGAAATCCGCTCCACTACCCAGTGGCCGGGGGCATCTGGGGCCAATTTTCAAGCGTATTTCTGCTTCATCTAGAGAGCTTGGTGTCCTCTGATTTAATTTGCTGTCATTTTATCCTTTGGTGGGGAGTTGCTGCAGGAGCTGCTGCTGTAGCCGGCATATAAGACGACCCCCGACTTTTGAGAAGATTTTCCTGGTTTAAAAAGTAGTCTTATACGCCAGAAAATACAGTAGTTCAGAAATCTGCTTTGAGACGGTGGATCCAGAGCAAGGCAAAAGGGCACTTATGATGCCAGTTGTTTATTAACAACTTCACTAGTTTACAGTCTGTTTCTGAGCATGGCCCAATAGTCCTAATAGTAATAATAATAATACGTATTAATTAATAATACCTATGCCCGGAGGTCTCAGGGCGGTTCACAAAATAACCTTCTTTTAACTTTCTGACACCACTGGAGTTTGGCTACCATTAGCCCTGACCATTGGACATGCTTGCTAGGGTGGATGGGCACCATATTGGCTACGCCTGCTCTTGACAGATGTTCTGGCAAAGGCTTTGAAAAAAACAAACTACCCAGGACTCTAAATCGCTTTTTTGCTTGTTTTGGGGAAAACACTCTGCTGCCTTTTTTCGTCTTCAGCCTCCTGTTGCTGGTTTGTTTGTTTTTAGTGACTTTGATATTTTTATTGTTTCGCAAATTTATATGCCGCTGAGCATAAAAATGCCAAAAGACAGTGCACGGCATAAAATAATATAGTATGACATAAAACAGTTTAAAAATCAGTGTAAAATTAAGCCATACCATTGTGTGTTTATTGTGAGATGCAATTAAATTCCTTGTGTATAAATAAACTAGGAGACCCGGGGTTTTATTCAGTGCAGACCTGTTGAAAGTAATGACCATGACTAATGCTGGGCTGTTACTTTCAATGGGACTATGCTGAATAAAACTCAGTTGGCTACAACCCCTGACCTTGCTTTGCCCTGCTCTAATCAGTATCTGACTTGGGTGCAGATCATCACAAGATGTTTCCTTTCCCAGCCTGGTGCCTTCCAGGTGTTGCTGAACCAGATGTTGCTGGACCAGGTGGCAAATGCCCAGAGATGATGGGACTGGGCATCCAGCAACATCTGGCAGGCTCCATGTTGGGGGCGGCAGGTGTGGCTGGTTCCAACCACAAGCCAGTCCAAGACGCTTGGGTTGATGTGTTCTTCCTTGTTTATATATCTTGATTTAAGAGTTTTCATTCTCAAATGCATTCATCTGTTTAACCATCATACTTTAGAGGGACTTTGTTTAAGCAGCACTGGGGGGAAATGATCACCATGTCAGGCAAGCTAGAGACTTCGGAACGATCTCCCTTTCTTCACTGTAATGCACGGCTTGACTCACTTGCTTTGAGACATCTGTGTTTTGTTTTGCTGCGCCTGTTCTTGGATTTTTTCAAATACCTCTGGCGTGCAGAGGAGGAACATTCAGTTTACTCCTGTTCTCTCCATTTGCTGCAAATGGCAATCTGAGCGGTGTGGACCGCTGCCATTCTGAATTCATTCTTTTTTAAAATAAAAAAAGAAAGCACCCCAAGTTTCTAGACCTCATGGATGCAAAGAGCTTTGAAACAGCATGGCCAGCATCTGCTATCCCACAGTGAGCTGCTTGACTTACCCAAGCTCCTTGCCTTTTCCCGTGAAATTAGTAGCAGAATAATATGTTTGCTTTACATCATTCATGCAAGTTTAGTTAATTTGTATAATTTATGCAGGGCACAGAATGCACACAGTCCTGGTTATCTTTTGCTTAATAAGTGAAAAAACTTGGCTTTGGACTTTCCTCCTCCAGCTTCGCGCTACTATGATGATGAACATTATATGCCCACATACATGGAGAGATATTAAAAAACAACACCTGTCTTTTGTTGCCATTGGCACCTAAAAATCTGTGCATCTTGTGGTCATTGGCATCTGTGTTGCTGCAGAGGTCAAGGATCTGGTTTCTCCTCCCTAACTGGCTCCTATAAATTTTTGCTGGCTCCTAACTTTTTGCATGCGCGCATATATATATATATATATATATATATATATATATAATCTCTCCCAGGGAGTGGAGCTGGCACAGCTGCCAGTTGATTTGAATATTTACCAATACTACTTACTCCCTGTCTCTCACTGTGTCTCTCCCCTCCCCTTCTCTTAATTGTGTATATATTTGCTCTGCGTGTATCCCATAAAATACCTGCTGTTTTGGGCGTACCCCATTTTGCAGGGTACATGAGATCATGCTGTAAAAATGCAATGAAAAACACTTTCATGCCACAACACATCAAATAGGATTTTGTTGTAGGATGAAGATAGATAGATATATTTTTCTCACCCCATTTGCTGAGCACAACAGTTTTCTCTCTCTGCGTGTACTTGGAAAATCATTATACATTTATTTTATTTTTGTTTTGAAGTTGGGGAAGGAACCCTGTCCTTTTGCAATAGGGCTGCTTAATTTTTGTCATTATCCTGCTGTGGAGTTGGGCAGCAGAACAGCCTTATAAATAGGACGGTGATTCTGAAAGAACCAAATCCCGTAAAGCCTTCTCTTTCTGCTGTCTGAGTGAGGCTGCAGTCCTGTGTCCACTTACCTAGGAGCAAGTCCCATTGAACTCAGTGGCTCAGTAACACTCATAGAACTGCACTGTGAGCAAGTGGTTATTGAAACTCCTGGAATGTAAGAGGAAAGGAAGAGCCCTACTGAATCCAACTAAGGTTCCATTTAGTTCATTCTTCCGCTTCCTAATGTGGTCGACCAAATGCCTCTGGAAAGCCTTTAAATAAGCACAGGAACACCTGAGCTGCCCTTTTCTGAATCTGTCCATTGATCCACTCAGTGTTGGCTGCACTGACTGGCAGCAGCTCCCCAAGGTTTCAGATGGAGAGACCAAATCTGGGACCTTCGGCATGCAATGCACATGCTCTACCACTAAACTATGGTCCTTCTTCCAAAGTAAAATAAGACTGGGCCTCTCATGGTGCTATAAAGAGGTGATTTAATAGAATCATGGAGTTGAGAGGGACCCTGAGGATCATCTAGTCCAACCCCCTGCAATGCAGAAATATGCACCTCTCCCATACGTGGATTGAACCTGTGACCTTGGCACCATGCTCTAACAAACTGAGCTGTATAAGAATAACTCCCATATGCTGATCTGAGCCATCAGCAGCTAGACCTCTACCAGCCTTATCTGGAGATGCTGGGGATTGAACCAGGACCCTTTTTTCTGATAATCAGGCGCTCTGTTGCTGAGTATGGCTCTTCCACAAGCAGGGAATTGACCCAGTAGCCCTTCTGTTCTGCTTACTCTCCAGTGACTATTGGTGTTCATTGGTGGAGTTGCGCCTTCAAATATGCAGGTTCTCTTTATCTGCCATAACCAATATCAGCCAACTTCACTGTCTTTTCTGTGTACTTGGCTAGAGATGCGGGTGGCGCTGTGGTCTAAACGACTGAGCCTCTTGGGCTTACCAATTGGAAGGTTGGCGGTTCGAAACTGTGCTACGGGGTGAGCTGCTGTTACTCCATCCCAGCTTCTGCCAACCTAGCAGTTCAAAAGCACACCAGTGCAAGTAGATGAATAGGTACCACTGCAGCAGGAAGGTAAACAGCACTCTGTGCTCTAGCACTCATCA